GTCCTTACATATTCGGTTAATTTTATAATATACTAAATATGAGTGGTTTCGAGTCAGTATACTACATGGGTCTATATATTTACATACACAAGCTCTCCTTGCGGCCTTCGATTTGCCCCCCTTATACACTTGAAATATATGGTTCAAGGTTCAATAACTGACGAGTTGGCACTACCGTGGGACTAGGCATCGTCTACCTCTCCCTGCCTCTTCGCCACTGGTTTAGAGCCGTCTCAGCATCTTGGAAGTTGTTACCGCTACACCTTTCTTGAATCAAGCCCCAAGTTCGCGCTCGTACAATGTTCTCGACGCTTCTCTCCTGCCTTAGAAGCAGCGCCAGTCTCTCGGTTCGCGGCTCGCGAGGGAAGTAGCGTCCGGAGTAAGGGTCTAACCGCTCGTCCACTACTCTCTCGCGATTCTTCTCTGTCTCCGCCTCTCGCAAGGAGGTTTCAGGGTCATCGGGATCGGGGCTCGTGGCCACATATGCACAGTATGTCAGGACATCGGACCGCGCTTGCCACGACGGGAACAACACTTTGTCCTTGAAAGCTTCGCACGAACGGGCATCGATCTGCCTGGAAGTTCCCCGAGGGCTTCGCACAGATGTGCTGGCCGGGTCGAATCCGGACTTGGCGGGCGTCACGAGTGCATTAAGATTCTGCGTGATCGAATCGTCAATGGCGCCCCGTGATATACGTAGGAAATCTAGAGAAACATGAGTCTACATGTTCACCCGGCCGGTTTTGAGATTTCTTGGTGGCAACACACCTCTCAAAGCGACAGTTGAGAAGCAGAACTGTGGTGTTAACTTCGGGGTTGTAGAAGGCGCGGTCATGATAGCAAGAGACTCAGCTTCCGTGGAATGGCTGGTCGCATGCACGGCATCCACCTGAGGAGCCGATTGTCGAGTCCAAAGTAACCCAGCCAGCGCGACAAAAGTGGATGTTGCAGTTCGTGTCTACTTGTAGTACTGACAAGCTGGCGCTCATCAAAGCAGGTCGATTGCAGGGTCAAGAGCAACTTCCCATTAGATAAGATTGTATTTGTACGTGCTCTATGACGAAGAGCGAGTGCAGGTTCGGGGGGTTATGTTTGCTCATGTTAATCTCTATGGATATATACTTGCTTTTGCAGCTAAGCAAATGCCATTGAATTGCTGGAGTTGATAGACATTTGAGCTCTTGTTAGTAGTGGGTACTTGTTTTTCCCAAATAAAACACAGAAAGCTTCCCAATCAAAGAGGTACAGCAGTACTCTCTACTCTTTTCGCTAGCACCCCGAGTTATGCATTTGCTGGTCTGATTACGCGCCACGCCTGCCTTGAGGCTACACCTAAAGCTGAGGTAACTGGGACCTACAATGCAAGCTGGAGCTGTCCGACTCATATTGACTTCATCACCAGACATACTGTCACTAAATTGTTCGAGCGGCCCCATTTCAGTTCCAGCGCCGCCATTAACGTATTCCTTACGCCCCGATTCAAATATACCGCGACTCGCCTGCTATCTCTTGGTGGACATCCCTAGCTTCTGTACACTACCTTGAGCCATTCAACCCCGGGATCTGTGTCAAACAGCACCCGATCCCCCAATCTGCCGACTATTATCTTATACCGCCAGCCAGTTCTATCTCCGCCATGTCTAGCACACAAGAACCAAGCGACATTGGGCGCCGCGATCCAGATGATGACAAAGACAAGAAGGCCGACGGGCAAGAAAGCGCCGGTGACAAGACGATCAACGACGGTGACGCCGAAATGCAGGATGCGCAGCCGGAAGAGGACGAGATTCTGGACGAGGAGATCCTGAGCCTCAGCACACAGGATCTCCAGACACGGAAACGTCTCCTAGAAAATGATGCCAGAATCATGAGGAGCGAGTTCCAGCGACTATCACACGAGAAGGCTACCATGGCCGAGAAGATCAAGGAAAATATGGAGAAGATTGCTAATAATCGGTCTGTCTTACCGTCCAACGTCTGCCTCGCACTTTCTCCCAGCTAACATCACTGCAGACAACTGCCGTACCTCGTCGGAAACGTGGTCGAGCTTCTAGATCTCGACCCGACTGCCGAATCCTCCGAGGAGGGTGCCAACATTGACCTCGACGCCACGCGGGTGGGCAAGTCCGCTGTCATCAAGACCTCTACGAGGCAGACGATATTCCTTCCACTGATTGGTCTCGTGGACCCCGAAACACTGAAGCCCGGCGATCTCATCGGCGTGAATAAGGACTCTTACCTGATTCTGGACACACTGCCGGCAGAGTACGATAGCCGGGTCAAGGCAATGGAGGTAGACGAGAAGCCCACCGAGAAATACAGTGACGTCGGTGGTCTGGACAAGCAAATAGAGGAACTAGTTGAAGCGATCGTGTGGCCTATGAAAGAAGCGGAGCGATTTAAGAAGATAGGCATCAAGGCCCCGAAAGGTGACTACGAGCCCTTCACTATTGTTCTGTTTGTGATGCTAATAGCGTATCTAGGTGCGTTGATGTATGGCCCTCCCGGCACGGGAAAGACGCTCCTCGCTCGCGCTTGCGCCGCTCAGACCGACGCGACGTTTCTCAAGCTTGCAGGACCCCAGTTGGTGCAGATGTTCATCGGTGATGGTGCAAAACTGGTCCGCGACTGCTTTGCCCTAGCCAAGGAGAAAGCCCCGGCGATCATCTTTATCGACGAGTTGGACGCGGTTGGTACCAAGCGATTTGACAGTGAAAAGAGCGGTGACAGAGAAGTGCAGCGTACGATGTTGGAGTTGCTGAATCAGTTGGACGGCTTTGCGTCGGATGACCGCATCAAGGTTCTTGCCGCCACGAATCGAGTCGACGTCCTCGATCCGGCGCTGCTACGATCCGGTCGGTTAGATCGGAAGATCGAATTCCCTCTACCCAACGAAGAGGCCCGCGCACAGATCTTGAAGATTCACTCGCGGAAGATGACGGTCGATGCGAGTGTGAACTGGGGCGAGTTAGCACGCAGCACGGACGAGTTTGGTGGTGCTATGCTGAAGGCTGTGTGTGTCGAGGCTGGCATGATTGCCCTGCGAATGGGCAAGAACAAGATCAGTCACGAACACTACGTCGACGCCATTGCCGAAGTGCAAGCCAAGAAGAAGGATGTAAGCATAGCCCGTCCAGCCTTGACCCTGCATGAAAAGCAACTAATCACTCTTGTCAGACGGTCAATTTCTATGCTTAATCGGCAGATGCCGATGCATCATCATTATGCAAAGACCCGGACCGGCGTAAGGAGAACAAACTGGCCCGACATAGATACAATATTGATAGACGAAGGGAGAATTGTGATTATTTACAAAGTCGCATATTCGAGTAGCCAGCAATAGGGGAACTGACAGCGTTGTGACAAGTTTCGGCCAGTCTTTCATGGACAGCCATCGCCTACCCTCGGTCTTTCCCTGCCTACTTAGCAACACGAGCCCCTTGACGCCAATTACGAGCTGTGATCGAAAATGCGGCTGGGGGCGACTATGTGGATTGCCAACGATGAAGCAGCCGAATTCCTCCCCAAAAGTCTAAGGCTGTTATTAGATGAAATATCGCCCGCAAATCACAATGGACGGAAATGCTTCCTTTGCTCGCCTGGTGAATCATGCTCACTGCTGTACTAGAACATGCGACGCCACACTTACTGCGCATGCGCATCCCATTCCTTGTGCTAGTATGATACATCCGAATAGAAGTCGCGCAAGCAAGAATGTCTCATGTTCATTAACGTAAGATGGGGTGTACATGACCCCAGAAACCATGACGTGATGGACTTGATCGGTGAGGCTGATATTATAGCCACCCTGGTGATACACGGTAGATTCTCAGGGGGTGTAACTTGGTCATGGTAAAGATGTGTTTTGTAAGAGTCGAGTACCAACTGCAGTTTTTGACATATGATGGATGTCTTGGGATGACAACACATTGACATGTCGGCGTAACGCATGCAAGTTGTAAGTGGGTTTCTAGTCTAGCTTACGGCGTTGTTTTTGCGCCTTGAATCACCACCAAAGACAGGGAGCGGAACACGAACACACGCCTCTTTTGGGAAACTTGGTCCGGGCAAATGTTGCAGGTTTTTCTTGGTATGTAGGTTAAGGTTAAGTGAGGGCGGGTGCAACGCACGCGACGCACCTTGTTGTTTAGGTGGTCGATGAGGTAAAAGAAGTAAATTAAATCAAGGGCGAGCTCACCGCTTTGACTTGTTTTGTGCCTTGGAGAGGATGATGATCCGATTCCCATGAATGATGGAGGTGTGGTAGGACGGCGTCCGTGTTTTTATGCTAGGTAGGCTGTAGGTTAGCTATATCGACATTATTTATTTGAACTACAGACAGTAGGTACAGAGCCTCTTACTTATGCATTCATGCACGTCACGCACCGACTATGCAAGGGGCCTGGGAGTTGCAGGCGAGATTTTCTCTTTTTTTTTCGGGCCACGATAAGTGGTACCATGTGTGTTCACTGTTGGTCGGGCAGGTACTTACTGGGTCAACAAGTTTGAGTTTGGGCACGGATGCGCTTCGATGTATTTTATGTATGTCATAAGTCTTAGAGTTTCTGATATAATAGAGGGGGGCATAGCATGAGAAGCCTGGTTTCTGTTTTGTTTCAAGAGAGTGAGTAGGTCTCTAGACAGGGAGAGTTATATTATACAAAAGTGGCAATATAGGATAGAATAGAACGAACGTTTTGACTCTTTTGCCTTGTTTCAACACCTTTTCGTCATTCTAATTTCTATTAGGGTTAGTATATCTCACATTATTAAGTACTTACCTATAACTTCGATGTTAAGCTCGTCTTTGCTTTGCAAGACCTGGCCATCTCGTTTGCTGCAGTCACGTAGGAATTGTAAGACCTACAAGTACACGTTTATGAGAAGTACAAAAAGTAGCAGCATAAATTAGCCAAAAAATAATAAGACAAGTTAGAAGATGAAAAAAAAAAAATAAGATGGGTTGCTATTCCTAGTGGACTAGGAAGCATCAGGAATTGAGCCCGATGCGGGGGTCGAACCTGTTTGAAGTTGCTTGTCAGTATTTACTGAATTTCTTGACATTTAAGTTATCTAAACTTACCCGCAACCTTGAGATTAAGAGTCTCACGCTCTACCGATTGAGCTAACCGGGCCAAGTTTGTTTTGTTAGGGCGCCGGTCCCTTACGCTGTCCTAACATTAAGGTTAGATAGTGCGTGCGTGTGGAGTTTGAAGAACCACGTGAAAAAGGCTCATGTCTCCGGTTTTTTCTTACCAGTTTGTGGAAAAGTATCTAGATGCGGTTCTCAAAACTCGGTATACCTTACCATTCATTACCAGGGAAATCAGGGTACAAACCTTTCTACATATTGCGCTGTGCGTGGCAAAAAAAGACTCGCATTGACGAAGCGGAAATCGCGATCAGCAATGGCATTAAACCTAGCATTAGCAGGTTACACTTTGATAAGTTCAAGCTTATGGACATGGGGAAAGAAACAGGGAAACCATCCATGGCCTCTTGGAGTCTTACAAGAAAATCTCGATTCTCGTGTTATACGATCTACAGCAAGTCAAGTCAAGTCAGTCAGTGCTACGCGACCAATGACTGACTGACTCTGCTGTCCGACGAGGGGAGTGAGAATTGAGAGATGGCAAGTGAAGCAAGCATAGAACCCCTGAATTGAAACAGGAAGCGCATGAGGAAGGTCTGGCTCATCGATGTCCAAGGGCGTCATTACCTACTTCCCGGCGGTCTCGCAAGGACGGAAGGGAGATAGGGGGTGATGATTCATAATTGCCACTCTCTTAACCTAAAGGTGAGGCTTGAGAGAGAGAGAGTGTTGTGATGTGATGTGGTTGGAAATGAGAGAGAAAAGGGGACATCATGGCCGATAGATGTCGGACAAGACAAGAGAGCGTCCCTCATTGTGTATATATAAACCCTCGAAGCCCGCCCTTCTTTCAGGTCAGTTAAAAAATCCAATCCAATCCAGAAGAAAAGACAGAAATAAAACATCAAGACGACCGTTCGGTATTACCGTCTATCGAGACTCAGACCCTCACATACTCATATCCATCTCACGCACAAGAGCGACAAAAAACGCTATCCCTTTAAAGCAAAGAAAATCCACACGAAAACCATGCAATTCCATCATCTATCCACCACTACTATCCTCCTCGTCGGTCTCGGCCTCGCAGCAGCGATGCCAACACAAGAGGAAGACCCCTATACGGCTTGCACGGGCATCTACGGCACGTCGCAGTGCTGCGCAACCGACGTGCTCGGCGTCGCGGACCTCGACTGCGCGAACCCGCCCACGGTCCCCGCGTCGGCCGACGACTTCGCCGCCGTCTGCGCGGCTGGCGGACAGCGCGCCCGCTGCTGCGTCCTCCCTGTCCTGGGCCAGGACGTCCTTTGTCAGACGCCTGCTGGTGTGAAGGAGTAAGATGACTTAGCTAAGCCAGACACACCCCTAGGGGATACGTGCTCTTTCTGGGCTGCTAGGTTTTTTTTTGTATGGATGTATGGAGGAGGGTTGATTTTGTGAGTCGTTCAAGGTTAGGTAGGCTACTTATTATAAGCAAGGTTTAGGGGGAGGATCAGGTGGTAAAGGGGTAAAGAAGAAACTTGGATGAATAATGGTTTACCCTGTCTCCATACTAGCAAGTATGTATTACTAATTTCAAGAAATGGTACCCGAATCAAAAATACTTGGTTGAAATACTTTCAGACTGTGTGCTACCTTAACATTGTGATCACTTGTAAACTTCCTCTGCAGTACAAATTCAATCCCGTCTCTCACTCCCATTCCAAACAACTATCTATCTAGCTATGAATCCCAGAAAGAGGCATAAAATCATCATCACAGCTCCCCTAGTCCCCGTCCAAACTCCTCCATCTCCCCTTCACTCTCATTCCCATCCTTCTTGCAAAACACCTCCCCGTCCACGGGCAGATCGGGAGAGTGTCGCCACTGCAAACAGTGTATCGTTGTGCTACTACTACCATGCCTGACAGCACCTGTTGTTCGGAATCTGAGGATGTGGTACTCGATAGACGACGCCTCCTCGCCCGGTTCGCGCGCCAGAGCGACGAGTTCGTCGTACGAGAGCGCCCAGTAAACCGATGCTTCGTCATCGTCATTGTCTGAATCGTGGTAAGGAAAGAGTGTGAATGTGTCCGCTGGCCGGCCTTGGAAGGACACTTGAAGGCCGGTGGGGTTTGGGCTGTTGTCGGTGTTCTTCTCCGAGGATTTGATCTCGATGAAGAAGTTCCCGACGGCGTTATAGTAGCGGCCAGTGTAGTAGTAGTACTCTTTTCCAGAAAATCGTTTCGTCTTCTTCAAGTCTGCAACATCACTTTCGTGCGCAACAACCCTTTCATGAGCATACCCCGGAAGAGAAGCAAGAGTATCGTTCACCTGCCTGATGGCGCGGACGTACATGCCGGCGGACTCTTCAGCAAGGCGTAGGTAGAGCTCCTCGGGACTTTCGTCATCATCATCATCATCATCATCACCACTGCTGTTGTTTCCGTCTCCTTTCTTCTTTTTCATATCCTCAAGGACAGTCTCGACAAGAAGATTCCCCACGAACATCACCGCGCCATTCGTCGAAATCGAGTTCGTCAGCACGGCGACGGCGTGCCCCGTCTCGGGTAGAAGGAGGCTGTACGCGTAGGATCCCGGGATGGAGCCCGCGTGGTAGAGCGCTAGGAACCGCGAAGAGGAAGAAGAAGAAGAGCCTACGACGGGGTTGAATGCGCTCGGCCCATCGGCCCAGGGGAAGAGATAGGAAGGCAGTTGCGCCCGGAACCAGCCCTGCGCGTACGAACGCTCGCGGAGCGTGTATGGGGAGGAAGGGAGGGAGATGTGGGGGTGCCATTGTTGGAGGACGAGGCGGATAGGGTTGTGAGAAGCGCGAGACTGTTGTTGGTCTTCTTTAGGATGAAAAGAGGAAGAAGAGGAAGAAGAAGAAAAGAAATCCATCTCGTCACGCGCAGCGGCCATGAAAGCTCTATAAAAGACTAATAAATCATTCACCGTGCTCCTGATCCCGCCCGCCGGGCCCATGATCACGTCGGGAGCCGAAAAAGCCGTGGGGATCTTCACAAACGAACCGTTCTCCAAAGCGGCATAAGACAGAGCTTCGTGTCCTTCTTGGGGTCTATCGGATTCGTCTATATAATAGGTATGCTTCATCCCCAACGGATGTAGGATCCACTCGCGTAGCACGGCGCTGAAAGGTCTACCGGCTACTTTCTCGATTACCTGTCCGAGGACCTCGTACGCGAAGTTGTTATATAGGAAGTGCGTACGCAGAGAAGCGATAGGTGGTGCGGAACTGAGCATGCGGATGGCTTCGCTTCGGGGCAGGAAGGGCACGTTGTTCGAGGCGAGCCAGAGAGAGTCCTGGGGAGCGAGCCCTGTTCGGTGCGAGAGGAGGTCAGCGATTGTGATTTCGTTGTAGATACTACTGTTGTCGTTTTTGTTGCTCGCGTCATCGTCACCATCCCTGTAAAACTCAGGGAGTATGGTGGAGAGTTTGGTGTCCCATGATAAGGGTGGGATGCCGTCGTTGTTGCCGTTGTTGCCGTTGTTGTCGTTGTTGTCGTTGTTGTCGTTGTCGTCGTTGTCGTCGTTGTCGTCGATTAGGGAGGCTATGAGAGATGCTGTGAAGGCTTTGGAGAGAGAGCCTATCACAAAAGCGGTGTGTGCTGCGTCGCATGGGATCTTCCTCGCGAGGTCGGCAAGCCCGAACGAGGCAGTGTGCACGATCTCGTCGTTGTGTAGGATGCCATAACTCAGGCCTGCAATACCAGAGACGTTGCAGATTTTTTGTATGACTGGCCCGAGAGCGACGAGCTTATCGACGAGATGCATTATGTGAAATATACCAAAGACTGATGAACTGTCGGTGTTGACATGCAAAAGTTCTTCTTTCTCCTCGTCTACAGATTGATTAGACTGAACTTCCTTTATACGCGAGGCCATCAAGGGTTAACAACAAAAAGACGAAAGGGAGAAGGGGGAGGAAGACCATCCCTTGCTTGAATCAAAATAAATCACACTAAAAGGTAAAGGACGGTACTTACTTCAAATTTCGGTATCTATGTCAATATCTGAACAGTTCATACTAATCTCGTTGCTCTAAAAAGCAATCCGAGTTAGGCTACTATACCTATCGCCATCCCATGCCCTCGGAGCGCGGGGCTCCTCCTTCTCGACAGCGACCCAAGCGTGCGTGTCTCTGACCTCCTGCTCCTCCTCGGGAGTGTAGTCGGTCTCGATGTCGAAGAACTCGGGCATCTGCTGCGTCGACATGCCCGAGATCCGGCGGGCCGTCATGATGCCCGCGTACTCCTCCAGGAGGGGGATCTCGAGGAAGTCGGCAGCGGCCAGGATGCCCTTGAGCACGACGCCGTCCACGCCCTGCAGGAGCTCGGCGTCCCACGTCGGCACCGCGACCTCGTAGTCATCGCAGGTGAGTTCAGCCAGTTCCTCGATGACCGTTTTCTCGTGCTTGTCGTCGTCGCCATCTGTGAGCGGGTCCTTTCGGTGGTGCTCGCACCACTTGGCCACCTTCTCCATCACATCGCCCGAGATGTTGTAGATCGGGATGGGCTCCGTCGGTCCCGCGTCGCCGTACTCCATGTCCTGGAGCATCGTGCGGAGGATGTACGATTGCTTGAGAGCCTCGACGGAGATGGGGATCTCGCAGTCGTCGAGGGTGCAGTGGATTCTAGCCATCACCTGAGAAGCCATGTTTACGGATCAACGTGTGTGGAAGGATGAAGCAGTGTTTGGTTTTTTGGTGTTGTGGTAGAATAGATAGGATATTGCTTCACAAAGTCGACCTTTGATTTGATAGCTGAGTGGGAGAATCGAGCCATAGCAACAGAAGGTGCGCGTCATTTACATATATGAATTCTTTGCTTACGTGCCAAAAGCTTAATCCTGCGATATTCACCGATTTCGCATACATGATGCTTGTTTCTTCTGAATATGGTGACTGTACCAGGTTACCGGTAGGGCAAGCCCATTGCGCGTGCATAGCTCGAAATGCTATTGGTCTCGTCGGAACATTGCTTTGTAAAAGAACAACGGCATTGGCAGGGAGTATCCTTTTCTCTATCCCTGGTACAGTGCCACTGTTCACTCCTTTCCGGAAAACTGACATCGGACAAAAGAGTGTCTCTGTGATGATGTATGGGGACGCGTCAGCTTTCTGTGTATCCTCTGACCTTTGCGAGGAAAACATTTTTGCTATGTCGCAACTCTGATGTCGGCTTCATTCATATCCAGGAGTGATCCCTGGACCAAAGCCTGATTCTCAGTGTTACCAAGCAGTAGCTGCAAGGAACAGCATGAACCCTTTTATTACTGTCATCCGTCTTGATTTTGCATCGCATTTCCAGTGCGTCACATTTCAGTGAGGCTCTCGTAACTACTTACCTACTTACGTGACTATCTCCTTCCCGTCGCGATCCACTCCATTTCTTGTAGTGTCATGCTAGCCTAGCAATGTCGACTACTGCAATAAAGCAGGCAAACCAACAAATCACTGCGCTTAACATGGTAGGAAATAATGAGCCAAACCACTGGATCCCGCGCTAGGTTTCCAAAGCACGAAAAACAAGAACTAAAAAAAGACAGCCAGATATATGAAAAAAAGAGAAAGGCAAAAGATTGGCGCCAGAGAGAATCGAACTCTCGTCAATGCTGCCACAAAGCATTATACTAACCACTATACTATAGCACCAGATGTTGATGAACACTGCATACTTCTTAGTCCACATATCTCACTGCGACAGATTATCACCGGTGTGCTGTGAATGAGATATTGGATGAAGAAGAGATGGCACAGCCCATCATAAAGCGCTGATAATTGTATATGACAAGAAACAGTTTTATAGGAAACGAAGCATTCTATTGTCGATATAAAGATATAACCTTACAGGCATCCTTCTTATCTACTTCCGGGGAGATTCCCCTATGCGACAGAATGTTACATGGCTAGGTAGATTTTTATAACCTAGGCCATGTACAGCAGTTGGGCATATTATATATAACTTTCTATTCATAACAGACTGCATCCTAACCTACACAAATAACCAGTGATCAAAAAGAGGGGGGTATGAGAGGTGGGGTGATGTAGCACACAATTTAGATACATCCATTCCTTCTCAAGCAAAACTCCCATCTCATTTCAGTAGGACTGACTCTCCAGCCATCCAATGCTACAGTGTCATTAAAGGGGTAAAGAAGTCAGCAGTCTATATATGCATGAAGGTATCGGCCTAAAAAGCCCGTGTAACCGTCAAAGATGCGTCATGAGAAGAGGAAGAGAATCCTTCTCTACCACCGGGCTGAATGAGGAAGGGAAGGGGAGAGGGAAAAGAAGGGAGTGCATCACAAGAAAAGGACGTCCTATCTGCCTTATGAGAAGATTCAAGATTACATATGTACACACCTGTGATACAGTAGGTTAGTTCAAATTCCGCGCGCTTAGCAGACAAGTCACAATACTTGTACACATCTCACTTAGCGCTTAGGTAGGCGTACCTGGTAGGCGCCGGGTAAGTCAAAGTATTCAATCCGAAGCGAACCAAAGTGTACCTACTTACTACGTTAGGCAGACTACTGCAGCTTCAGCTTCGCCTCTCCTCACACCTTACAACCCCCATTGCTTCCACTTACTTCTAGGTTAGGATAGGATCATGCAGGCGGCGCAGGCGGCCGAGTCGGCCTTGATAGAGAATACATACCACTACTCCACCCGACTGACTCACTTGGCAATTGCAAGGGAGAAAAGATGCCGTGGGCGAAAAACGCTTGTTAAGAAGTTTATACAACCTTAGCTACTTAGTAGGTAAGTAAGTACGCAGAGACACACATACTAAGGTACTGTGTATCACATCATTTCCCCATGGGGGTTTGAAAACCTACCTTCCTACCTACCTCTTACCCTTTTTCCAGCTCGCAAGACAAGGCGAGGCAGGGTAACATCGGCCGTTTTCTAGGTCGGTGGGCGTTTTTTCTTTGACTTCTTGGCGCGTCGCATCGCTTATTCCTTTTTTTTTCTTTTCTTTTTTGCTGGCGATCAACCAAACGACGTGAAAGGAAGGAACAGTTGAGAAGGATCGTGGCATACATCGAATGGTACCCTACATAACATCACTCTGCTGTAATCTGTCATGCAATGGAATAATCAAGTGTTTTATGCGAAGGGGGATACTAGGTAAGTAAGTAGGTAACCTAGGTACTCTCTCTACCTCTATCACTTGGAGATTCGTCTATCTTTGTTTCAGATGAATAACCCCTTCTCATCAAAGTTACTGAGTACGTGTTTATTCGAGGTAACTTCATGCTGGATGAAACTAGTTTCCGTCCGCCCCTCGAACTCCCCGGGTATATGAAACAGAAATGAAGCCATACTGATCATGCCGTCAATCTGTTCCCTTACCATCATGTACCGACAAAAACTTGAATACTGCAATGCATGAGGGAGAGGCGGGACATAACCAAAAGAATCCGAGTCTCGAAATGGCAATATGTGTAAATACATCATATCTAAATCAAAACCCCTAAACGCCGGCTGGAAACACCGAGAATTACTTAAGTCTCCTTGTAGTGGTATCTATATAGAAAGTCACATGACAAAAATTCCTACGCGGTGTGATGCGGCAAGCTCGGGAGCTCATGGCTCAGGTTCGGCGACGGCTGCCTCATCGACGCCGGACCCGTGTGAGGATCGTAGTAGTACCCACTGGCCGGGAGTTCTGTCGCGAGATTCATCCCCGGTAGCTCTGCGCTATATTGCTGGTCATAGCCTCCGGGATACTGCTGGGGGTACTGTTGTCCGTGTTGTTGCCCATACGTGGCTGCGGTTTGTGTCATGTTGGGAGCAGTGTTGTCATTGCGCTTCACCGGTGCGTAGTATCCATTCTGTGGTACATTGTCGGTCCCCGAGGGTGCTTCATGTACAACGTTCGATGAGCCACTGGAAGCCGCTCTGTGCTTGGCCTTTCGACGACGTAGAAAAAAGATGAGGGCGGCAGCAATAATGGCCAGGCCCACTACTGCCGCTGCAACGGCGATGCCGGCCGTGGCTCCTGTCGTAAGACCTCCAGATGCCCCTGCGGTTGGACTGGGACTGGGACTGGGGCTTGGGCTGGAGACTGGTGGTGTCACAGACTGTGCACCGTTAACGTCTTCAGGGGTCAATGCTTTCCACTATATAGCACCGTTAGCCATGGTATTCTGCAGTCAAGATGGATGCAGCTCAGAGAACTACAGGATCTGGATGTATAACGTACGGATCCGGTCCAGGACTCCTTCCAGTCGTTTTGACTGGCCTTGATATCACTGTTGCTTGCGGTCCACGAGACGATTTGTGAGGTTGGGATGTTCGGCCCTGGCGCTTGGGCGAGCCACCATTTCTTCGCGTCCCAGTGGGCACCGATAAAGGCATCTTGCAAGAAAGCCCGGCCCAGGGTGTACCCACCCCCGTTGCCGGTATAGCACGGGAAGTACTGCACGTCGCTGCTGACGAGCGGTGCTGTCAGGGTCAGATTCAAGTGCCGGAAAGGGACCGAGATGGTGATCTTCTGTGTGTTGGTGTTGCCAGCGAATGCGAAATCCAGACTTGACGCGGAGCTGACAATCTGCGAGTATTTCGGGTCGTCTTCCTTCCAGATGTATAGGCCCAGATCCTCGTTATAATCGACGGGTAGATGCCCGGCAATCGCATCGCAACTCGACTTGGGCAAGGCGAGGTAAGGTGAGCAGCCATCAACAGACACCTGTATCCCTCTGGATCCGATCGAGGCATTGTTGGCTCCCAAGAGACCGTTTTGCGACTTAAAGTCCCAGGGCGACTCTCCGTCAACGACCGTTATGCTGATGTCCTGCAAGGGAACTGCCTTGTGGTCCGAGTCCGTCTGAGACAGGATATCGCCAATTATGCGATTCTGATCGTAGCCTCCAAAGACTAACGATCCTGGCATGGGCGGGTCGGCAGAGCCGATGTGCATGGCGAAGGAATTCGACGGAATCAAGTTCTGATAACTTAACCAACCGGGGACCAGACTCGCGTTGATCAATGGCTCGCCGTTACTTGTTGAGAAAGACTGATTAATAGTCGAAGGTGCTCCTAGACCTAAGCAGCCCACAGAGAGAGGATACCATTGTTGGTTTGGATACACGGCATAGGCATTGGAGATCAAGGCAAGGGAAGTGTTAGGCACCGATAGTGAGCCCAGTGACATGTTGTCGACCCACGATTTCGCATTGTCTCCCTGCACGGCGAGCCCCCCCATGAACTGGGGACCGGGGGCATACTGAATTTGACCAGTTGACCCGGTGTTGTCCACCTGGGACCGTTCCTTGTTGTAAAGATGTGCCTTGGTGGCAGTACACGTCGAATTCTGGGAACAGTAGTCGGTCGTGAGTATGAAGCTCTGGAACTCTCGCCCGGGATATAGAGCTATCGTCTGAGCACCACCAAGCGTTACCTCCACCGCCGGCCATGGACCGTCCGGCCCATACGTCTGATCGGACCATGTGGCAGAAAAGGGAGCAGGAGTGCTTGCAGTCACTCGCGAGAAGGCGGCAAGGTAGGAGAGAAGAGACAACGGAAGAGAAGCAGATGAAGGAGCCATGTTTCGATGCTATGATAGACAATCACAAGATGGACACGCACGACTCGAGGGAAGGCACCAGGGAGGAGGGAGTACAGACGGAGGAAAAGATGAGCGATCGAGTGGGGAGGAAAAGGGATTGCTAGAGATTTGGCTACCAACCGTGGGTATACCCGTGGGCATGAATGACTGTGGGCATAACCGTGGCAGCGTGGGTATGAGTGTCTGGGATCGTCGCCCCCGGAGTAGGCGCAGGAGGCAGTGTGACCTTGACCATCAACTTTAACCTTGCCAAACCTGACCTAATTTCTGGAGGGAGACACCTCGGTTTGATACGACTCATCAGCCATGCTATCAGTATCCGCCCTCTGAAACGGGGCGTCCGCATACAGTCCATGCCACGAACATTGTCAAGTCTAGACCTGAAGAGCAGCATCGAAGAGGCACAGCGGTACATGCACTCAGGCTTGCTCTACATCGAGGAGATGGCGACTCGCGACTTCAGATGAAGCCCTCCCCGGTTCTGGCATAAGCTTGGAGGATCGAAATGCCAGCAAAGTAACCCCTTTCGACTGGGGCCCGAAAACAACCGCTAAACTTACCTAGTAACCTATTTAAACCCGGCGAATCTTGGCTGTCGAGCATCCATGACGATCAGCATGGCTGCTCTGGCAGGCGCAGCAGCAATCTCTGCATCGTAAGTGTGCCGTGTATCTCTGCTTTAGCTGGGGGGTGAGAAGACAGGTTTTCTGTACTACGGCAAGTTGACAACACGATCTAATAATGGCAAGAAGTTCTGGCCCTATGTTTACCGAGTAAACTCAGCATGCGCCTAGTCTGTCCTTGTAACGGGATGAAAAATAGACGCGGTAGGTGCTCGGTCTGTCAGCAAGAAGGCAAGAGTCTTTTTTAGCAACTTGTGGTGTTGTATTTTGCAGGACTGTGGGCCCACGCACGTGTCCTGGGTTCCGACTCCTGGCAAGGCTTAACCTGCCTAAGGCGTTCTTGGCGCGGCCTTGGACGGGTCCAGCGGCCTGCAATTGCCATTCGTTAAGGCTAAATTAAGTAATGGAAGCCTACCTTATCTTGGTCTAGATAGCGACGGTAAGTACTTACATAA